TCTGCGAGACCAGCTCTGCCATCGCCGCTACGCTCGTCGCCCAGCCAGCGTAGCACAGGACGGAGACGGGCTGCGTGTTAAGAACAGCCCCGGGTGTAGCCGCGTTACGGAGTGTATCGCCCTGCGTGCGCTTAATAAATATGAAGCCTTCTACTGGACGTGTGTTGGAAGTCGCTCACTTCACAACGTTGGGCCAACGTTGGCATGAGGTTGAAAGTGTTAGATCAATGTTGGCCCAACGTTGGATGTTCCCTGCGTAAGCTGGGCACAGGCCATTTATTGCGTGCTCTCGATGGGTCTTGATTGGTCTTCTGTGGTGGCGAGATGTTAACTCCCTCGCCTGGTATGCAGGAGGTCTCATGGGTTCGATCCCGACCCTGACGCCAATATATTTGGAGTTTGCATGTTCTCCCTGTGATCGCGTGGATTTTTCTCCAGTTTTCCGTCTACATTAAGAATCAACGTGCGTTTAGAGTAATATAATATTTTTTAAAATATATTATGGCTGCTTTCAAATTTCCACACAATGAGCCACTTAGTTGAGCTATCATTTATGGTCAGGTCGATTCTGAGAAGAGCTATATAGCTCAGTGGACTTTACTTGGTAAAATAAAAAAAATAGTTTCGCTTAGTTTGATTGTGGTCCGCCATTACAAAAGAGTTGAGGAACACTTCATGAAGAAAAAGGTAAAAAAAGAAAAATATCTGGTCCCTCTCCAAACACCGTTGACAGATGTGTGTGTGTGTATATATACAGTACTGTGGTTAGGTTTAAAGTTAAAATTCCGCAGAGTAGACATACAGTTTGCCTGCATTAGCCGTGTGTCTCAAAAGACATTCCGACGTTAGCCCGATGTTGGCACAACGTTGTAAGGCTTCGCGGGGTGTTTTTTTGTTAAAAAGTATTAATCATTCTTTTTTCGATTTAAAGCTTTCGTGACTGCAAGGATTCATCTTCTTTGGTTCTTTCGGTAAAGTCACGTAGAATGAGAATAAAATAATACATTGATAAAATAAAATAACACAATAATATTCTCACGACGTTTCGGCCACAACACAAGCGGCCTTCATCAGGTGAAGGGGACGAGACTGTCTGGAGGACAGCGCTGGAGTGAGAAAGCCACGCTGAGATCACGACCTTTAAGCTGTGTGAGAAGAAACAAAGCGCCTTGGCAAAGGAATTAGCATATAATTTAGCATTGAAATGGCTGAGTGATTAGCTTGTGACTGGTCACAGAAAAGGCTATGTTAAAGTTAAAGCATACACATCCGCAAAGGTACCCCTTGACAAAGGAATTAGCATATAATTTAGCATTGAAATAGCTAAGTTAAAGTATAAACATTAATCATTCGTTTTTACAATGTATCCTGGACAGCGCAAGTTTAAAAAGTATAATAATTATAATAATTATATCCGGGAGTCTTTGATCACAAACATTGCTTTTTATCTTCTCTGGGATTTTATATATCGCTTTGTTAAAAGCACTTTACAAGAATTACAAATTGTGCATTAGTTTTTGACTAATAGGGAAAAGGGATGTGGGTTTGAGTGTTGGGGAGGGGAAGGGATGGCAAGGGAGGGTGATGATAGGAAGAGGGAGGGCCGAGGTTAGGAAAGGGATGGGGAAGGATCGTTAAAGTTTTAAGGGGGAGGATAGAAAGTCATAGCGGGATACGTTTTTTAAAAATATTGACATCACTCTTTCTTGTAAATAGCATTGCACAACATCGATAACACATGTTTCCGTTCTGAACTTTTGGTGTAGAAATTACTAGATGATTATACTGGTAGGAGCCTCCAGGGTGGGGCTGGGTGGGGGGTGGGAGGGGTGGGGCTGGGTGGGGATGGGCTGATCACCCCGTGGTGCCCTTATAAAACTCAACATTTAACCTACTCACGCCGGCTTGTGCCCGCCCCTCACAGTCGGGCATATTTGCAGAATACACCACGTGGTGCCGCCGTGTGACCCTGGCCATTGACCGAGCAACCCAACGTTCCTACCAGCATCCCTCCGCAGGAATGAGTTCTCCCGATGGTCCCATCGTTAGTCCCTTGCTCGAATGTCGCCGCCTCGTTTGCATGGCAGTGTTGGTGCGGCGAGTACAGCATAATACGATCGTCAAACATCACAAGCCGTGATCAATCCACGAAGGCACTCAAAGCTGTCGCCAATCTGTCCCAGGAACTCGATACGGATCTGCGTAATCATGAATATCCTCAGAGCTATACGGAGTTGTAACAGCACGCCTCTGATCCGTGCCTGTGTTTGGGTGAGGCCACGTCCGAGAAGCTTTCTGCCAAAACTCTTGCCAATGAACGTCACTCAGCAGCTACTAACAATGCAACTAACTATTCATAAGATAATTTAAAGCGTATTATTCGGTGAAGTTGCGTTTGGCAGGCGATGTACAAACACAATTAACAACAAATTTGTCAATAACAATGTGGCCTGGAAGAAATAAATGCTTACTGTATATATTTTTTTTCTTTTAAGGCCACATTATTAAGAACGAATTTGTTGCGTTTTTCAAAACTAAAAAAAGTTTCATCAGTAAACATTTTAAACATTAAATTCCTATCAGCGCCCCATGGTGTAACCTGTGAAGTGTCGTCTCCAACTGTTATCCACTCTATCTCCCTGGCCTCTCTACGTGCTATGATGAAGGCCATTGCCTAAAACGTCGCCGATTATGTTTTTTTCCTTTTTAAAGCCACAGCGTTATTGACGGATGTGTTGAACTTGTTTTTTTTGTAAAAAAAATCACGTGGCATTAACCCAAAAAACAAATATATGGGTCATTATTATTTGCTAAGAAAACCGACGTTTTAAGCTCACTCATGCTGGAGTGCTGGCTCACCACTGCTAATTTAATCAGGAGCGCGACCTTCAAGAGGACATCATTAGGGAGGGGTGGGGGGGGGACCATGGTTGTTGCCATGGAGACGCCGTGGGGGGCAGACGTCTCGCGCCGCTACTCGCCACATAACCTCGGAATGGGAAGGGGGGGGGCTCACGTTCTCCTGCGGGGTCGGGTGGCATAAAGCGGGGGGGGGGGGTCTCCATCACGTGGTCCTAGGAGTGGGGGGGGGGTCCCTTCTTGTCAGGTGCTCCCAGAGGTTGATGGGGAAGGAACGGGTGGGAGGTGCGCCACGTTTCAGTTTTGAGTTTCATTTATTAGGTACTAGCTGTAACTACCCGTCTTCGTCCGGCCGCCTTTGTCTCCCCAATGGGGCGATGTTCACACACCACACGAGTTACGCGTTTGAGGCTGAGGCGACCTAGGGGAGGCCCAGGACCAGTTCAAATAATCGTCACCGGTGGTGGCCGTGAGCGGGAATCGAACTCGGCTCGCCGGGTTCGTAGCGCAGCGTAGCGCTAACCACTACACTACAATGCGTTACGCTTCCACGTGCGCGGGTCACGTGACAGATTTGACGTCACAGCTCATTTGCCGTGCAAAAAAAATAAATGCATTATTGAGCTCCCCCCACCCCCCCATGGTGTAGTCTGGAAAGTACCCACGTGGCAAATTTCAAGTTTGTTGCATGTCGGAAAGTACGCTAAACATTTTGAACAGACAACACATAATCACAACTTTGCCTTTTATATATATGGAGATAGCCCTGTGAGCCATGCGGCTCTCGACTCGGGTGCAACCGCAACAAAACAAAACATGAACAAAGAACATCTCAAAGTGACTACGGGCAACAGAAAAATCCAGCAAAAAAAACCAGCAAAATCTTCCAGATAAAACACCGTGTATCAATGCTGTATGCAAAAAATCCCGGTGGGATGCAAGTCAAACAATAACAACCATAAGATAATTTAGATTAAAGTTTTCAGGTTAACTCTGTACCACAACAAACAAACATGGCTAATATTCTTGGTTCTTTCGGTAAAGTCATGTAGAAGGGAAACAAAAAATAATATTTGTATTATTTATTATTTTATTATTTTATTGTTTCCCTTCTACGTGACTTTACCGAAAGAACTAAGAATATGAATCCCTGCAGTCACGAAAGCTTTAAATCAAAACATGACTAAACCAAACGTTTTTGAAATCACCAAAATAAAGCTATAAAAGCAATGTAATAGTGATCACAGGAACTGTGATTCAAATTCATCAATAAACGATATACATAACGTGTACGACCAAACTTTGCAGCCATAGCTGGCAGCATGAGTCACTCCATAACAGCATGAGTATCACAAATTCTCAATGCAAATTTAAAGATCAGCACACTATAATAAAAAAAAACCTCTAAATCATCTGGAGCGATACATTTGATTTCAGGCCACTCTGAATAGCAGTGGCAGCTAGGGGTGTACAGCTCCTCTAGCGCAGTTTTGAGTGAATATCTCCCAAGTCGTGATTCAAGTTGCAGTTTATTGGCAAAAGCATTCCAGACCCTGGGGGCATCAACAGCAAAGGCCCTTCCTCCAGTGTGTGTACGGCAATAAGGAATGTGAAGCCACGTGACCCCGAAGTGGGGAGTTTGGGGTTCTTAGCAGGTCACCCCTGGGGCAAGTAGGGGGGTGGAGGGGGGGGGGGCTCTTCTTATCACGTGATACCCCTGGGTGTAGGGGGGTATGAGCGAGGGGGGTGGGGGCGGGGGTATTTGCGTGGCACGAAAACCCCGGGGGTTCGTCACGGCGGGGGGGGGGGATCTATGTCACGTGGTCCGCAGGGTGGATGGGTGCGGAAGTGAGGGGAGGGGTAGTGGGGGATGGGGTATGTGTAGGGGAGTGAGGGGAGGGGTAGTGGGGGATGGGGTATGTGTAGGGGAGTGAGGGGAGGGGTAGTGAGGGATGGGTTATGTGTGGGGGAGTGAGGGGAGGGGTAGTGGGGGATGGGGGGAGTGAGGGGAGGGGTAGTGGGGGATGGGTTATGTGTGGGGGAGTGAGGGGAGGGGTAGTGGTGTGAGGGGGAGTGAGGAGGGATGGTGCATGGGTGGGGGGTGTGAGGGAGGGGTAAGGGGGGGGATGATGCATGGGTGGGGTGGGGGCTCGTCACGTGACCAGTCTCTCTCCCCGCGTTCTCATCATCATCGTCGTCGCCGTCATTCTCCGTCTCCTCGCCATGGCGGACCCGGGCAAGACGGGCACGGGCATGTTCAGCAAGCACGCCAAGAAGCGGATCACGCGCGCGCAGGAGAAGGTGAGACGAGACGGGGCCACCCGGACAGGCCGCACGCACCCTGCGGTGTCGGCAAGGGGCGAACCTTCCTCGCTATAGCAGTCTCTCCGTACGAATCCCTCCTCCTCCTCCTTCCCCGGTTCGTTCGCGTGATGATGTCGTGGATGTTTTGCGATTTATTCCCACTCCACCACCACCACCACCCACCGTTGACTCGCATTGCTGAGGTGACGAACGCCGTCACCGAAGGGCATCGCCGTCGTTTACGTGAGGGGGCGAGCTTCAATTGGGTGCGTGTGGCCTGCGAGCCGCAGTTAGCGATGAGTGGACCCAGAGGTCAGGAGGAGAGGTGAAGTATGGTCACCTGGGGTCAGGGTCAGGGCTGGTGATGCACCGGCGGAATGTCGTGTTTTATGTTTGGGTAAATTTCAGGGCTGGGCTGCTTAATATGTAATTGTTCACACTGCGAGAGAAAACCCCCCGTTTATCCACGAAGGGAAAATGTCGCACTGCTGAGATGAGCGATTTTCAGTATAATAGATATTTCGTGTGAATGTATTGCAACGTATGTAATAAATATATAAAAAAATCAGTACGGCGTAAAAAAACCAAAACCTCCGTTCGTTAACGCTGCCTGAAGGGAAAAAAATGGGTACCTTTCTGACCGCTCTTTGTGCTGTGATGAAGGGCCATTGCCTGAAACGTCGCTTATTATGTAGCTTATCTTTTGTGGCCCACTTATTGACGAATGCGTTGAGATATTTTGTTTGTTATCTATGCTTGTTCATCACTGGCAATGCAGCAGCAGAATCACCAAACAATGTAAAAGTCTAGAACAAAGGTAAAATAAATGCACAGAACCCCAATAATAGGTGAAATTATGAAATATAATAAGACACACTTGTAAGAATGTAATAACGGGTTAAATGGGTAGCCGTAGAATATTGTTCTTCTATCAACTTGCTCCAGTTTACAATGGACCCTCCTGTCTTTTCACACGGACATGATGACCCACTCATAGACTTGCCATCTCCGTTATCTTGCATGTACACCGACTCCACGAATGTGTGCTTGCATGCTTGTTGTCGTTGCTTATTGACGTCTTTCTCCGGTCGTGCCCTTGGGAGTGTGGCCGTTCATATCTACGTTTAATAAAATATTCCCTTGGTTAAACAAAACAAAATAATCGCCGATTCCACCAAAATTCACAAGCCAAATCTCGAACGCGCCGCATTATTCTTCCATTGGGGCTAGCTTGGACGGAGCGTGGACGCAACAGCAAAACAGAGAAGCATTGATACTCTTTGGTTCTATTCGGTAAAGTCACGTAGGTAAAAAAAAACAAATCACGACGTTTCGGCCACAACACAAGCGGCCTTCATCAGGTGAAAGGGGACCAGACTGTCTCGAAGACTGCGCTGGAGTGAAACAGAGCCAAGCTCTCAGCCTTTAAGCTGAGCTTGGCTCTGTTTCACTCCAGCCTTTAAGCTGAGCTTGGCTCTGTTTTACTCCAGGGCAGTCTTCGAGACAGTCTGGTCCCTTCACCTGATGAAGGCCGCTTGTGTTGTGGCCGAAACGTTGTGATTTTTTTTAACCTACGTGACTTTACCGAATAGAACCAAAGAGTATGGATCCTTGCAGTCACGAAAGCTTCAAATCTAGAAAAGAAGAGAAGCATTGGTTTGGATTAACACGTAGGCTTTCGCGACCAATATCCATAATACAGGGGGTTTGTTGTTGGTTTTTGGGTTAGATCGCGTAAATATATAAATGTGTCGTTAAATCTGTCACCACCCGACATGAAATCTGGCAATCCGTCTGATGATACTAGTTGTCATTACTGGCGAAATGTCGTACTCCGATTTTGTAAATGCTGTGGATTTTCTCTCCCGACACGCCGGTGTGCTGCACTAGTAACGAATTGGCACGTTCTGTTTACGTGACAAACCTTACTATTAGGCTGTGTCGGGTGGTGGCTGGTTTAACGGCACGTGTATTTACGCAATCTAACAAAAAAAATCTGTGTTATGGAGATCGGCATTGCTCTGCACCTATCCAAAAGTTGTCTGTCTCGCTGCTCACAGGCAGCGAGAACTAAGACAAGAGGAGGATCACATTGCAGTTCTCCAGGCCCTGCGAATGTTTTTTTTTCCATAATGCACAAAATCTTGAATGAATTTCCCACATTTCTCTGTGTGTCTTATTTGAAACTTATGGCTGTCCAGCCTCTACTATTATTCTGTTGCGATGAAATGTGCTCATAATTTACAGATTTGACTATTGCTCCGCACGCTATTCAATTTACATCTTCAGCAGTGCGATTTAAATATTTTTACATTTTTTAAGGAACCTCGAATCAAACATCCTTCATTATATGTCGGCCACAATATATCCACTGACAATCCGAGGATACGGTATTTGCTATGTATTTGCGTAAAAAAATGTGATTTTTTTTCTCTCTTATGTGCAGATAATACAATTCTGTAATTCTCGCAGGTTCTACAAAAGCTGGGTAAAGCTGATGAAACAGTGGACCAGCAGTTTGAAGAACAAGTTCAGAAATTCAACAAACAGTATGTACGTACTGCATGCAGCCCAGGCGCACGATTGGATGATACCAGAAGGTTGATATCCTTAGGGGGATTAAATATGTACACGGGGTCTGTTTCATCTCCAGATTAATGTTTCTAGACTACTATAAATGTCTGTGTGTTATTCACGGAGGACGCTTGCCTGTAAGAGAATTTGTATGGGCGCACTCTCTTGATGAGACTCGCATAAGTCAAAGCGGTTCGAGGGTTTTACCTACAAACACTGCTGAAAACATGGGACCAAAAGGCTAATTGGGTGATGAATTTCATGGTATTATTTTAACTGGTTGGTGTGGTTAGTATGCCTATTTTAATACATGCACCACATTCAGGGACACGTTTTTTTCTACATTTTTTTTTTACAACGAGCACTGTCCGTGTTTTTGCGTGGGATGCGCTGCCTGGGTAAGAGGGTGGGTGGGGGAGGCTTGACGTCATTGCGACGCACGAACCCGGCTTAGCGATGTGGGATGCGGGTTACGTCATCACGCGGATGTTCGCAGTGACGTCACCACCATGCACTAGCCCACCCGTGCTCCAGGCAGCCAGCCAGCAAAACCCTTTTTTCAAATATTGTTTGATTTTTAGCTGTTTCAATCCATTGCCGGATGAAGGCCTCCTCACACCTTATCCGTCGTGGGGGTTATTTGACAGTACTTCACCACGTTGGTCACTGCAGGTTGGTGGAGTGTGGGTATTCAGGACCAGTTGAGATATCGCTCAGCCTTGACCAGAAATTACAAGTTGCCGGGATCTTGGCGCAGTGCATTTTCAAACTGTTGGTAACAAATGCGTAAGTGTACCTACTTTTCGTCCAATGATTTCACATCATATAAAAGTTGCTCTTTGAGTAATTATTCACCAGTTGGTTGATGTTTTATCATGATTATCCCTGAAATATGTTCTAAGTGCCGACTAATATGATGCTGCACTGGTAGATTTGCTTGGCCAGTGAGGGCTACAGCAGCAGCATCAGCACATTTGTTGTTGTGACATCATGCCTGTCACCCTGACAATGAATCCAAAATTGATTTTAGAGCTTTCGAAAGCATCACTAATAACTCTCGTCTTCTATCATTAAAAAGCCTAGCCAATTCATCATCTCCCTCCACAGCCATTCTCCAATAACATGGCCTATTATAGGTGAGCAGAAGTGACTGTGCAGCGCATAGGGCAAATGTCTGTGTGAGAGCGCTGAGCCAACAGAATCTAAAATTGTGGGTTCGCGTCCTGGTCAGCTGCCCAATATTGATTCACGTTCTCAAGTGCGAGCGAGTTAACGGTTTTGGGGAAGCGTGAAATCACCTTACACATTGTTGCATTCACTTAAGTATAGCTTGGCCCAGCAGTAAGAGTGGTGGTGTCCGTCTGTAATTGAGAGTTGTGGAGGCAAAGGCTATATCAACGATGTATCATACAGATTGGTGAAACTCAGAAACTTGCCGGTGTGCAAGTTGGCCAGGAGGTGGCATTGGAGCAAGTTGGCTCAGGAACCTGCCTGTGCATGGAGCTCTGAGTGTTATCCCGTTACATGCGGCGTGCGTTTTTCTCCGGGTACTCCCATCTTTCTCCCACATGCAAAATATTAAAATAATTTACCAAACATCCCAATGCAGGACCCTCTTGAAAAAAGCGTTGAGTCTCAGAGAGGCTTACCTGATTAAATTATATAACAATTCTAATATTGAGTTTGTATGTAGTAATGCCATTTATGCAACTATTTCACACAAAGGAGACGCATATACAAGGAAATGTTCAGCCAATTAACGAGTGGTTGTACATGTTGGAGGAAACTGTAGCACCCAGAGAAAGCCCACACAGGCGAGGGGAAAAAAAACTCTATCCCATACGGACAGAACAGGTGGAGTCCAAATTTGCTGTACTAGCTTTTGCTAGCGAGACGGGGTTACGGCACCTCTGCGGCAATGGCAAGGGAGATTCGCAACATTTGTGCGGTCCACCAACCCTTGGTGCCTCCACAGTGCTGGATTACACATGTGTGTAGTCAACGCTGCCCGGCTATGCATTACCTCATTAGTTATAAACGTGGTTTGTCGATTAAACCTTGATTTGAAAGGTTCATAATGTGGCCTTACTATGAAAAATTGCAGTCAGGTTTTCCTGGACAAATGGCTGACGGTACAATTACATTTACCCATGTGCTTGGAAATTGGTGTTCTGTTTACAGATGAGTGGTGCTTTGGAAAGATAATTTCCGTGTTGTATTGGTTCATTTCGAAACATGAATAATGCTGATAAATATCGAACACTTTTTGTATTATTATTGTCAAATATGTATTCATCTTTCGTGCAATGAGATATATGTTGTTGTCTTCACATATGAGTGCTGAATATGGAATTTGATCTGCGATATTCATACGTCGGTTTTTCTCGTTATAGAATGAAGGGAGTCAGCTGCAAAAGGAACTACGGGGCTACCTCGATGCTGTAAAAGGTAAAAAATAAAATTACATTATAGGGAATTTCCTTAAAACAAAACCAATATTGGTGGGGGTGGGGGGATATCATAGATCCTATTATCTGTAGGAGGATTATTTGACTTCTCCACAAACACAGTTGTGAATAATAATGTGAAAGTACCAATGACATCTACTTATCTCTCAAAAAAAATCATGGATAACGGGCAGGGCATTTCACAATACAGCAAACACCTATCCCTTGCATGTTTAGCTATCACGGTTTTGCGGTTTCTCACCAATTGTATTCAGGTACAGTTCGCTGATAGCGCCCGTGTGCCGCCTCGACCAGTCGAGGTTGACCGCGTGATTCCTAAATGCATCGTAACTGTGCTGCTCGTGATGTTGCTGCCGTGGCAAAACACGCGGCGGCATCTTGTCTCCATCGCTGGTCCCAGTTCATGTGTTCCCAGCCTCCAGTGAGGTAGTGGAATTTAGCCGCACGATCTTTCTTCATTTATCGTACGAGTTAATATTTAACACTAGAAAATATTAATCATATTTTACGTAGAAATTACTTCCCGTGAAACGGGTTAATGTAAAGTAAGATAACAAAATGAGGGGATGGCGTATTTCCCTATTTGTTTTCCAATTTGCCTTTGAGTATACAGATTGTGGATTTGTTGATTGCAGCTATTGTCAAACCTTCGCGGTGGGTAAGGGTTTGCTGTATATGCCGGTTAAAAATTTGGATAATCGCAAATAATAGAAAAATAGGCACGCGGATAAAAAGATCAACCCTCGATAATTTTGGTCCCATGGATAATATAGCCACAAGTAAAATGAGTTATTTATTATCACCTGAGCGGGTGGTGCTGTGATTAGAGCGATACATAATTTGTTTAACAAGCCTGATTGCTGGTGAGACTGAGAAAGTCGAAACCAATCCAGAGTGTGCTTTCTTAAACAAATGCTGCTGGATACTATTGGTCTTGAAAGCCACTATGTCGATGTCCTAAAATGTTTTATTACATATGTGGAAAAACAAACCGGAGTTCTGCTTAGGCTTATTTCCACCTACAATGAGAAGGTTGTGAGTTCAAATTTTGAGTTGAGGGTCTATTCAGCCTAACATCTATCTAGGTCAATACTATAAGTACCCCAATAAGTAGTAGTATTTTGTGAGAAAATAACATACCCGACTTTTTTTAACACGCATTATGTTTGGAAACTCTTTTATAATTAAACGTGGTTAATTTAAGCGCCCGTTAAGTTAAACGACATTTAAGTTGTAGGTCATTTTTATTTGCTAGGAGATGGGTTTTGCTCAACAAACAGGATATTAACCATTGACGACCACAGACTGCCATAAGTCTTCGCTATAGCGTACGTGTCGTGACATTTATTGTCGTGTGTTAACATTTTATTCCGAGGTTATGTACGACTCCGTAAACGCTACAGTTTTTTTTCCAACTCTGCTTTTAAAATAGCATCAAGACCTTAATTCAGCTTACAGCTTAAGCAGCTCGAACTGCAAAGTGTAGGAGCGCTAGCCACTACACTATCTCTGAATTTCGTCAAGACGCTGTGATATTTAAATTGAGAGGAATGGACAAATCCTCATGCTTTCATTTGCTGTGAACACCAGCTCTTCTGCTTGGCCTTTAAACCTCCAATGGCATAGGTCAACGCACCAGACCGTCACCGTCAAGCATTGTGATGCAGTTTGTCATCTCTGACATAAGCCCCGCTAATTAATCAGCCCAAGTGTATTCCACAGCTAGTGTTGTTCCTTGCACGATACTTATGTTGGTACGCAGCATTGCACATTCATTATGAAGGGTAAAGCTCACAAGGGTCAAGATCACAAGGTCATCACGGCTGGTGTTATTGATGTTACCATACCTCGCCATCACTTCATTCCCTCTGCTGGATTACCATAGCTATCGCACAATGTTTTAACGTAAGTAATTTGGTATGACTTACTGTTTTTTGAGTTGTCTCGATTAATTATAATGCTCACTTAAAATTGCGTAATCACAATAAATGTAGTATGGAATATATATTCTTGGTTCTTTCGGTAAAGTCACGTTTTATATATATTTTATAATTTTATTGTTTCCCTTCAACGTGACTTTACCGAAAGAACCAAGAACATGAGTCACTGCAGTCACGAAAGCTTTAAATCAAAATTTAGTATGAAATACTTACACGAGTTTTTGCGTTTTGCTGTATAGCTGTCTCATGTTTAGTCGGGTTGTACAGCACATTGTCAGGCGTGATGTCCGATGTTTCGCTTCGCACACTGGGAGCCTCTTCACGAATAGTTCCCGAAGAGCAAGAAAACACGTGGAGCTGTTTTTCTTCCTAGAGAGCCTCCCAGAACGTGGAACAAGGCGGCGGACATTCCAAACAGAACGCAGTGCTACCCGAGCACACGTCGGACGTGTGTTTTATCTTGTATTTATGTAGCGCCTTTATTTGAGGTGCTTTACAATGGTTATGAGTGGTACAATGAGGGTAGCTAAAGGTGGTATGGTGAATAGGGGTGGGTATGGGGAGGGAGGTTCGTGGGTGCAGGAATTACGAGGGTTTCTAGGGGTGGAGGGAAGGGATGGGCCAATGAGAAGAGGGAGGAGCGGAAACTAGGCAGGGAGGGTGCTCGCCTAATGTGGAGGGGAAGTTTGTTCCAGTGCAAGGGGGCAAGTAGGGAAAAGGAGCAGAAACGGTATTGTGCACAAGGAGAGGGGGGAACGGTTAGGAGTATGAGATATTGTTATCTGTCTTAACAGTTGTGCAGACTTGGCTTGACTCTCACTGTAACTTGATTTGCTTTAGAAATGCACGAATCGTCTAAGAAAATGAACGAAGCTCTCCTCGATATGTACGAGCCTGATTGGTATGGAAAAGAAGATGTCAAAGACATTTCACAGGTAAACATTAATCATACACTTGATATAATTGCCACCAGAAGAAATTATAATGAAAAAAATTACAGCCGTGTCTAACTGTCACCGCGTCTCCCTGCTCAAACAACCAATTATGTGCTAAAAATAATCAAATACGTAAAATTACAATGAAAACCCATCATAAGGGAATAATAGTGCAGGCTGGAAAACATGACGTTTCAAACAACACCGAAATGTGGAAAAACCATCGGCATTTCACGAGGAAGTGCATGTTCATCCTCTTGCGATGGGTGGCCGAAAACAAAGAGAATCACAATGCACTTCTTCATGAAATGCTGGTTGTTTTATTTTATGCGCAAAGTTATTGTGCTCTTTATACATTTCCGTGTGTTTTTTTTTTAATATCTGCTGCTCAAGCAAAGCAGTAAATGCTGGTGAAGGAAACTCTACATTACCATGCCAGAGGCCAGTCTTTTCCACAGGATGACCACTGTTATAATAGAATGATATTTGGATTAATATTGCGCATAAATGCAAATGCATCTCAAGACGCTGTTCATAAAACAGTCGGCATATTTAAAGAGCATCTTAAACTTCCCAAAAGGTGGTGTGTATTTTACTGACCTTATGAGTTGATCCCCAAACAGGATTTGAACTCGCAGTCTTTCAATTGTGAGACCAGCACGCTCACGTGGAGACGCTTCGAAATGAGCTCCACACAGTTGAAGATAATGGGACCGTGATTGTGCCTGTCCATGCCTGTGTGATGCAGAACGGCGATGAGCTCTGGGGTGACTTCCACGAGAAGCTGGTAGACAATTCTCTACTGACCCTTGACACGTACCTCGGCCAGTTCCCCGATATCAAGGTAAAGAGAGATAATGACTGCAGCACATGTTGTACCCTGGTGTTTATTGCACAAATGTGGGAAGGACCATTAACTCGTGTATTGGTCTTCACAAAGACAAAGATCCCCCCGTATAGCATTAGACTGATGGGGCAAGTACTGTTAGCGAGCATCTATGAAGGCTGGCATGGCACACAAAGGGGTGGGTGGTCAGCATCACACCCGGCTGCCTTTGTTTCTCCAGTGTATGCATGTGTAGCGTCGGAAATACGTCTGCACACACCGCCTATGTGCACTTACCTGCAGTTATGGCCAGGGTTCTGTAGGGGATGCCTGCCTGTACAAGGGGATAGAGAGAGAGCCAGACCATAAAGAGGCTGGGTTCCCCTCCCCGACCCCAGGTGAGGGGCTGGGGGTGCCTTTCCAGGATCCCCTGGAAGGTTCCGGGGGTGGAGAGTCCCCGGGACGGGTATAAAAGGCGGCTCTCAGGTCGGCCCGAGGCAGTGCTACGAAGACGAAGACTGAAGACCAGCTAGGCTAGGACCCTGGGACCCCGGGACCCGACGTCCTTGTAAGGGCCGGGCCCGAGTACGGACCAGTGGTCAGGTCCCGCACCTTGGCTGGGTCTGGTCAGTCAGTCTCCCCTAGGTCCACCCCTAGCCAGAGGGCTCTAGATTACCCCCAGTGATAGGGCACGTTAGCCCGGAGGCTGTACCTCCTTAGTGAGCGGGGTAAGGGGGTACCTTGTTAAATTGTTATAAATAAAAATATTGTCTCCAAGTTACGTCGCAAGTCTCCTGGAACCCACTACACATGTATGTATGTTGAGCTTCTTTCACACCGTACGTAGCCAAACATGTTAATCGGAGGTGGGCGCTGGCGATGTGTACACATCGCACCCAGGTACTCGTTTGAGGTTGAGTTGACCTTGCTCAAACGCGTCGTACTACCACCACCAGTGTCATCGTCCTGTCACGAACAGCAACAACAACAGCATTTCATGCAAGAGACTGCAGTTGTACTGTATGTGATGCCTTTTACCAAATCGCCTGGAATGTGACTCATTTCAGGCGATCTGAGTTAAGCAGCGTTGAGCCTAGATGGTGTTCGTATGGGTGGCTCGTGCAGACTTGGTTGTGCAGACTTTATTCCTTGCAAAAAGTATCTATTTGGTGTTTGAACATCTGAACACCTGTTTTTTCCAGATAGGGTCAAACCTATTCTTATTTTTCCTACTTGGGATACTGGCAAAAAGGTCCCATGATATGTATTACATTGTGTGACTGATACTCCTCTCTGTCCCACGACAGTCTCGCATTGCCAAACGTGGGCGCAAGCTGGTTGATTTTGACAGCGCAAGGCACCATCTGGAGTCACTACAGAACGCAAAGAAGAGGGACGATATCAAAGTGGCCAAGGTATCTGGTTACAAACATCGTCGTTAACGGCTTCACAACACCGTAGACTTTCAAAGTGAGTGAAGCGCTCACCTGCCTTGCTCTGCCCCTTATCAGCGTGAACACGGCTTCCAAGTTAGTCAAGTGTGTTTTTTTTACAGTAAATAAAATAAGGCTACATTTCCGGAGGTTACTCTTTTCCCCCTGCTTGTGTTATCCTCACTTTCCCATGCTGTTGTCGTTTCTATCCAACAGCCGGTGTTGCTGCTTGAAAAAGCTGCACCTCAGTGGTGCCAGGGAAAGATCCAGGCCCATATCATTGCCCAGACAAACCTTCTCAAGAACCAGGTAACACATTGGTTCACCAGCACACAACTCGCGCCATCGGTTCACCTGTGTACAACTCGCATAATTGTCTTGTTGATCTCATGGTGGCGTAGTGGATATAACGTCTGTTAGCATAGCTGAAGAGCGTGTTAGTAGTGTAACTCCACCGGAGCCTCCGGGCAGGAGGGGGGGCAAGATCCGGGCTATGAAGAAGTAGGAAATTGGACAAGGGGCCCTATTTCATTACTTGCAACAGGCCTCGTGCCAACCACTCCACACCGCTGTTACATCTAATGTTATTTAACTCAGCAAGGCTAACAGAAGGAAACTGCTCGAATTGTGAAAAATCGTTTGAAAACATAGCTACGTTATTGAAGGATTAATATGGTACTCCAGTTGCTTTAACATAACACTTCGGAGTTTGACCTCCGGGATTGCTATTCTGCAATGTGGATCTTGTCCTGATGATGTTTTAGACACAGTTTTAAGTGAAACATTGTTATCTAAACTATATAAATTTGGTTGTGAGAATTATACTCCAACTCACCGGTGAGTGAGCTGAAGAAATACTAATCGTTAAATGCTTGTACATCACATGACGATTGTATCTGTTTGCCTGTGTTGGGTGGTAGAGGGTCTTATTGACACAAATTTGATCAGATCATTATGTAGTGGCATAACCCAAAAAATATACTCTGAACCAGTTGTTTTAGTTAGATTGTTTAATTACATTGTGGTAAAAAAAAAATGTCTCTCTAAAGATTATTGAAATGTCCAATTACTTTTAAGTGCTCTGCACATTGTCGTGAGATTTTCGGGAGACCCTACCCACAACACGGATAAAGTACCTGGGCTGTGTTCAGGGCTGCCTAACAAGAGGTGATGCTTAATGAGTGAGAGAAAAATACTTTAAAGTTATTTTAATTAGTGCTTTAGTGGCAGCATTGCAGTGGTGTGTTAAATAAGCACATATGTACGTACAGCACTTTACCAATTAGTTGCTGGATGAGGGCCCCTCCCCACGCTTCGTGCATCATGGGAATTATTTGATCATACTTCAAGCTTTTCTTAACTTGTTTTGGATCGCATTCTTTCATCTTAATTATATCTTGAAACACGGCAACAGAAACAACGTCGGGAGATGGAGAGGTCATCTATTTCTGCGCTTCAGAGTCACGGTCATTTATATCTCTGAAATATTGCGTGCGGCATTAGTCGCGTGATTAATTTTATTAAATGAGATGGGATTCCGCAGATGCGAGTGTTGCATTGGGTGGTGGTGTCGCTGATGTAAACTGTCTCGATGCCGTCAGCTGAGATTCAGTGTGAATGCCTGCTGTAGGCAGAAGAGGACTACGTGAAAGCACAGAAGGTGTTTGAGGAGATCAACGTTGACCTGCACGAGGAGCTACCTGTAATTTTGGACAGGTGTGTACGTCTGACCCACACGCAACCTAATCCGATCTTGGAACATGATACAACAAACAACCTTGGGAGATAGAGCGATAGACCATCTCTCTATCTATGGAGTTCCTTTATAGTACTGGGTGTTAGAGGCTGGAGTAATAAGAGTGTAATAATCATAATAAATAATTCACGGACATAAACAACCGTGACTCTTGATATGCGGAGCCAAGCTGAGTGTCTCGCGAAAGTGTCTCTTATAACTGGGTGTAGATCGAATGCTGCGAATGTGCGGTGGAGTGGCGGCTCTGTTCCAGCCAGCGGGGGCTGCCACGGAGACACCACGCCTGACAGTGACGATGGTCCCTGGTCCTTGTTGTAATGTCTGTGTGGGTGCCGCGGTAGCGAGATGGCATCTTCCTCACCTGGCATACAGAAGGTTGTGGGTTCGATTCCGACACTGACGTCTGTATATTTGGAGCTTGCGTGTTCTCCCCGTGGTTGTGTGGCTTTTTCTTCGGGTTCTCCGGTTTTCCCTTCCACATTTATAAAAACATGCATTTAGAGTATTTGGCTGCTACAAATTTCAACGTGATAAGCGACTTCGTTGAGCTATAATTTGTGGTCAGGTCACCTCTGAAAATGAGCTGTAAAGCTCCGTGGGCCTCACCCGGTAAAATAAAAATGGTTTAGTTTAGTTTTAATGTCGTTACTTTGCAGTTTAGGGAGCTGCTCTATTTACATTTCCTCCATTCTGTACGATATAAATACTTTGTAAACTTATCGAAATTTCCACACTGGTAATCTCTGAAACAAGTTCCTTATTTGGATATGCATTTTTAGTGCTTTTATATACAGTTCCTCATTGTTTTAAAGTAATTGAAACCTCACTATTAGCAAAGTTAAGCCCCTCTTAAATTCACCCAGATCTTTGAATAAACTTACATAAAATGTAGAGAGAGAGAATGTATGTATATTGAACTTCTTTCACACTGTACATAGCCAGCCGTGCTATTCTGAGGAGTGGGGGGAAAGACAACAAATTAAGATAAAAAAAAGTTTTCAAGAAATTAGTTTTCAGATTATATTTATAAGTGCATAGCTCCAGTGGCTTCCTAATATCAGAAGGAGGAGCGTTCCAGACAGCCACAGAAGCGCATGTGAAAGCACGCGATGCAGTTATAACCGTCTTTGTGCGAGAATAATCGGAGTTTGCGTGATGGTTTATGCTCCTTGACAAGATCAGCAAGGTATTGTGGTTCATTTGTGGCAAGCACTTTGTGTAATGAGTGTGGCCTTATGCATGCAAAGCAACTGCTATAAAAGGTGCACTTTGTAATTTTCATCGCTGCGCTTGCCTCATCAGTATCGATGTTCATAAACACTCACAGCAAAATGTCCACCCCACCCCCTCTGCAGCCGAGTTGGATTTTACGTGAGCACCTTCAAGAACATCGCCGGCCTGGAGGAAAACTTTCACAAGGAGATTGGGCAGGTAGCGAGTTCTCTCCTTACTCGTGCGTTTAGAACTGTAGTTCAGTAGCTTCACATTTAGCAATTATATCTATAGCCATACAAATCAATCTATTTACTGAAACATTTAACTAAAACATTTAAAACAATCTTTATAATGTAATTCTCATCCTGTCCCATAGTGTTAAGTGCAGTCACTCTGTCTTTCTGACCTTTTTATGTCCTATGAAGAAGGGCCATTGCCCGAAACGTCACCGATTTTATATCTTCTCTTACTATTCAGGCCACGGTGTTATTGGTGAATGTGTTGAGTTCCTTTATTTATCTAGCCGAGAGCCCCTCCATAGCGGTGCCGTTTTACAAAAGTATAGAAAGGCGTGCACAAAAGAATATATTTAGTTTGGAAAACGTGTGAAATACATTATTCATGTATGTTGAACTTCTTTTGCACCGTACGTAGCCAACCGTGCTAATTGGAGGTACTTAGCCAAATGCTAATTATTGTGGTACAGTGCAGTGTGCAATATCGCTAACTAAACATGTGTAAATGTATTCACGGCGTGTAAAAATAAGCAGTGACAATTACACTTAAATAAAAAAAGCTTCAAGTATTGATTTTTTGTTAACATTTTTCGTGACTGCAGGAATTCATATTCTTGGTTCTTTCGGTAAAGTCACGTAGAAGGGAAACAATAAAATAATAAAAATATAAAAAACAATAAAATTCTCATGACGTTTCGACTGCAACACAAGCAATCATCATCACGACGTTTCGACTGCAACACAAGCATTTATCATCATCATCAGGTGATTGCTTGTGTTGCAGTCGAAACGTCGTGAGAATTTTATTGTTTTTTATATTTTTATTATTTTATTGTTTCCCTTCTACGTGACTTTACCGAAAGAACCAAGAATAAGTATTGATTTATGAATAAAATGTAAAACTGCAAATGTTGTAAGCCCACAAAGAACTCTTGGCATGAAAATCCTTAACTTATAATTAACTGCCATAATTGCTTAAATATGCATATCAATACATGTTTTTTAAATGGAAGTAATCAGGAGGGGAGATTTTTGAATACAGGTGAATGTTTTAGAGGAATTTTTCTGCATTCGCCTCTACTCGTTAATTTTGCGTGACATCGCGACATCAGCTTGTGCAGTTGAAAGGCAACCTGGCACCTCTTGATCTGCGCCTAGCTGGCCTCAGCATGAGCCCTGGCGCAGGTTGGTTATGCAGTGGAAAAGGGGCATTATATTTGGTGCCTGTCCGTGCAGTGACGTCCCTGCATGTGCTCTCTGCTGTTTCACTGCTCAGCTGAGCCATGAGATGGAAGAGGTGATGATAAAGTTGGGCGACCAGCACTCCGTCAAGTCTTCCGACATACAGAGCGCTCGCAGGTGTGTGCCAGCGTTTTGGCGATGATCGAAGCAAAGGCTGTCACGGTGGAGAGATGTTAACTACCTCACCGGGTGTACAAGGGTCGTGGGTTCGATCCCGACCCTGACGCCTGTATATTTGGAGTTTGCACGTTCTCCCCGTGGTAGCGTGAATATTTCTCCGGGTCCTCTGGTTTTTCCCTCCACATTTATAAACATTAATTTAGAGTATTTGGCAGCTATTAATTTCCACATGATAAGCCACTTGATTGAGCTATCATTTGTGTCCAGGTCACTTTTCAAAAAGAGCTATATAGCTCAGTGGGCCTTACCTGTTTAACACGTAGGCTTTCGCAACCAATATTATTCATAATGAAGGTTTTTGGGTTAGATCGCGTTATTTATAAATGTGTCGTAACCCTCCACCACCCGACACGGCCAATCACCAAAAAAGAGTCACGTTGACAAAAGACAAATAGTTCACTACTTTAGCCCACCGGTGTGTTGAAGAGTCAATCCACAACATTTACAGTTTGAGTACGACGTTTGGCTGGCGAATTGCCCGATGATGCTGGATGTAATTACCAGCGAAACGTCGTACTCAAACTGTAAATGTTGTGGATTCACTCTTCAACACACCGGTGGGCTAAAGTAGTGAACTATTTGTCTTTTTTCGATTTGAAGCTTTCGTGACTGCAAGGATTCATCTTCCTTGGTTCTTTCGGTAAAGTCACGTAGAATGAGAATAAAATAATAAAATAGCACAAAATTCTCACGACGTTTCGGCCACAACGCAAGCGGCTGTCTTCAGGTGAAAGGTACAGAACTGTCGGGACGACAGAACTTCAATTAACGATTTTAAGATTCGTAGCGACTTTTAAGCTGGTTGGGAGAAGTGAGGCACCTTGACAAAGGGGTTTACATATCAGGTTTTGACTTTAACATAGCCATTCCTGTGACCAGTCACAAGCTAATCCCTTAGCTATTTCAATGCTAAATTACTAGTTGCCTCTGTGGATGTGTAGGTTTTGACTTTAACATAGCCATTTCCGTGACCAGTCACAAGCTAATCCCTCAGCTATTGATATGTAAACCCCTTTGTCAAGGTGCCTCACTTCTCCCAAACAGCTTAAAAGTCGCTACGAATCTTAACATCGTTCATTGAAGCTCTGTCGTCCCGACAGTTCTGTACCTTTCACCTGAAGACGGCCGCTTGCGTTGTGGCCGAAACGTCGTGAGAATTTTATTGTGTTATTTTATTATTTTATTCTCATTCTACGTGATTTTACCGAAAGAACCAAAGAAGATATTTGTCTTTTGTCAACGTGACACTTTTTTGCTGATTGGTTGTGTTGGGTGGTGGAGGGTTACGACACATTTATAAATAACGCGATCTAACCCAAAAACCTTTATTATGAGCCTTACCTGGTAAAATAAAAATAGAAGTTAAATAGTTTAAGCTCGAAGCCTCATTTATTTGGCTGGAAATTCTCACGACCCGATCAGTTGTGGTGACTGGTGTCATGCTGCAGATATTGTAACCTTGAGAATTGAGAAATGTGTGTGTGTGTGCGCATAAGTAATGCAATGTAATACTATCTGACAATGTATTATTATCTCACATACTTAATAATTAATGTCTCGCTCTTTCGCACTCCACTGCTGGATGAAGGCCTCCCTGTGCCTTGTCGTTCATGGGGTTTGTTTGACCACATTTCGCCACGCTCCCATCGGTGTGAGTTGGTGAAGGGAGTGGTCAGTGTGGGGGAGGCAGGACTAGTTGAGATACCATTCTCCGCTGACATTGGCCCTGGCCGGCAATATCAAAACTCGAGTTGCCGGGTTCGTAGCGCACTGCATTGTCCACTGTGCCACTGCTACATCTTTTATGCATGTCCTTCAGTCTACTCGTAAAAAGGCCCGGGGGCCCATTGAGATACAAGTCTCTGTTGCATGGGAGAGAGTTGGGGAGGGCGCTTAACACTATAATGCGAACGTGTTTGAGGCTATATCTGCGTTATAATTACCATGGAAGATTTTCATTCGTATCTTTTTAGAAATACAGTGAAACCTTGGATTCGCGAGCATAATTCGTTCCGGAAACGTGCTCGTAATCCAAAGGACTCGTATATCAAAGATAATTTCCCCATAGGAAATAATTGAAACTCGGATGATTCGTTCCACAACCCAAAAATACTGTGTTCATATAAAATGATTAATATAAAATACCTTTTTATATTTTTATTATTTAAATTTAATATAAAGTAATAAAATGTATTCATTACATTTAATCGTGGCTGGTGTGAGGGAGACGAGAGAGGGGAGGAGGAGGGTTATCGTGTAGGACGACTTTCACTTTTAGTACAGTTACTAAAGAACAGTCGCTACACTTGGACACAAAATAAAGAAATGCTTTATGCACACACACGTGGTCACAACACTATAGTGTAGTAAATAGTATACACGTGGTCACAACACTATAGTACTGTAGTAAACAGTATACACGTGGTCACACCACTATAGTATTGTAGTAAACAGTATACACGTGGTCACAACACTGTAGTAAACATTATACACGTGGTCACAACACTATACTACTGTAGTAAACAGTACACACGTGGTCACAACACTATAGTACTGTAGTAAACAGCATACACGTGGTCACAACACTATAGTACTGTAGTAAATAATATACACGTGGTCACAACACTATAGTACTGTAGTAAACAGTACACACGTGGTCACAACACTATAGTACTGTAGTAAACAGCATACACGTGGTCACAACACTATAGTACTGTAGTAAATAATATACACGTGGTCACAACACTATAGTACTGTAGTAAACAGTATACACGTGGTCACAACACTATAGTACTGTAGTAAACAGTATACACGTGGTCACAACACTATAGTACTATAGTAAACAGTATACACGTGGTCACAACACTATAGTACTGTAGTAAACAGTATACACGTGGTCACAACACTATAGTACTGTAGTAAATAGTATACACGTGGTCACAACACTATAGTACTGTAGTAAATAGTATACACGTGGTCACAACACTATAGTACTGTAGTAAACAGTATACACGTGGTCACAACACTATAGTACTGTAGTAAACAGTATACACGTGGTCACAACACTATAGTACAATAGTAAACAGTATACACGTGGTCACAACACTATAGTACTGTAGTAAACAGTATACACGTGGTCACAACACTATAGTACTGTAGTAAATAGTATACACGTGGTCACAACACTATAGTACTGTAGTAAACAGTACACACGTGGTCACAACACTATAGTACTGTAGTAAATAGTATACACGTGGTCACAACACTATAGTACTGTAGTAAATAGTATACACGTGGTCACAACACTATAGTACTGTAGTAAACAGTATACGCTCGCTCGGATGTTGGCTATACGAGTGAGGCACGCCGACTGAGACCGAGCATGGGAGATGATTACCCACAATCCTGCAGCGAGAGAGCGAGAAGAACCATTGGCTCAGTTGTGATCACGTGACGCTCGGCAGTCAAAGCTGTATACTGTATACGTACTGCTCGTATTGCAAGACATCGCTCATTTATCAAATTGATATTTATTTAAAAATTTTGCTCGTTTTGCAAAACACTCTCAGATCAAGTTACTCGCAATCCAAGGTTTCACTGTACAGTGTAGTGTTTTTTTAATGATAATCTATATTTCACTTAATTTTTAAAAATATATGTAATTTTATGATGTGATTATGATTCGATAGCTATTTTTTATTTTTCTTATCTGTTGTTTAATATTGATTTATTTTACTGCGACTTATTGCGTTTTTCAGAGAAGCAGTGTTGTTTTTTGTTGATGAAACCCGATTTAAGAGCTTCTTGGCTCACAGGGTACTTCAAAATTAACTGAATGGAACTTGGTATACAGTGTCTTAGACAATTAAACCGATATGTTCCTTTTTTTACTAGTGACCACCATGATGGAGAAATGCTGATATATAAAAAAAAACGTGTCTTTGTATTGCATTGCCTACATTGCTGTGTTTAGAGTTTTCTTACACTTTCACCCACACTCTCCGTGTATAATACAGTATTCCATTATTATTCGCGAGATATATGCTCCGGAGCTGCTTGTGAATAGAAAATTTGTTGGTTAATGATATTGGCCTACGAAAACCTAACTTTTTCATGAATTACCTTAAATAAATATGTACATAAGCTTTCTCTCTCATCACTTTATCTCTCATCACCTTCTCGCATCACATGCTCTATCTCATCACTGTCTTTCTCTCTCTCGATGCAGTCGTGTAGCGTTCCAGATGCGATTTGCGGATAGCCAAAATCGCGGATAGCAAGTTCATGAAGAAAGAGGGAATGATTTAATTAGTGATTTTATTTTCGTAAAGCGTTTTGAGATACGATTTCATTTAGACGCGATTGTGAATTGCAATTGTTTAATCATACTAGTGAGCCATCTCCAAGCATCGTGGAGCCACACGGGAACGACTCCACCTCGCTGGTGTCCGACGATGCGGGACTGAGACCCGATCACACTGCGTCCCCGCTGAAGTCGCCTATGCAGGTACCATGGACCCGTTCTCACACGGACACAGAACGCTGGACTAACAGGCAGAATTCACGCTGAGCGAGATGACGCAAAACTCAAATTGGAGAGACCGCCTTGGGTCAGATGAACAGTATTCTTATTCTTCGTATGGCTGATGTGCATGGAGAGCATCAACTATAATTATACATTGTGGTGGTTGAGCTAGATAATTGCACCAGGAGTAGCGGAATGCATTGCTGTGATGATGCCTCCTTTGTATTTGTGAATTGGGCATTCAGTTGTTATATGTTCCATGGTCTGTTCCGGGTGACCACAGTCGCACACTGTCAGAGTTTTCATGTTTCCATTTGTGCATCAAGTACCTGCATCTCCCATGGTTTGTGCGAATGCGGTTTAGGGTTGAGGCCGATGATCTGCGTGGAATATCAAAGCCCAGGGATCTTCTGCGTTGGATCTTTTGCGGGTTGTTTGTTTGTGACTTCTTGTAAACTCATTTTGGCTTTCAAAGCATCATCAGTGTTGAAGTTGCATTGTTGAAGGTTGAGCAAGCTCAAGTGGCAGTGCTGCCACTGCCTCCAGAACCCAACAAGCATAGGGTCTCACGAATACACTGCACGTGACCGTGTCATCGACATGGAGGGGTAGGGGAGGGGTGCTATTGGTGGATCCTATTACCTCTGCCTCTCTTGCAAAAAATACTTCTGATATCCATTATTTGGGTAAACATGGATAATAGGATGAATTGCCCACCACTTCTGGGTCAGTTTTCTTAACCACAAAAAACAATCTGATAATAGGATGAATTTTATTTTGTGTTTGAACATCTTAACACCTGTTTTATTGCCAGAAAGGGTAAAACTTATTTTTTTTCATAACTTGTGCAATGCTTTGATGTTGTCTGTCAGCCAATTCACCCTTTAAAAAAAGTTTTTCAGCTCTATGGGTTTTACTCGGGGAAGTTAACTTCTGATTCTGTATGCCTTTATATAGCATCAGAATGAGAATCTTTATTTATACTGGAGGAATCCGATGAACTATGGAGCACTTTTTCACTTATGTCCCGTCTGTGCAGACCTTTGATTGGTGCTCTCGAGGTAATCTGCCGCTCCCACAAATAATACTTAAAAATTAATTGGTCATAGATTCCCATGTAGGACCCTCCTGAAAAAATACCCTTGAGACTGAGGCTTTCCTGGATGAAAACATTACATTTCTATTCAGCGCTATTCACCAGGGTTAATGAATTCAACCTTGGTTGAAAAGGTCTATAATGTATCATCTATAAATATGTTTTTTTCATTTTCACTTCCTGCCTAAAATATTAAATGTATTTCTCTTTAAAAATGTTTGCTTGCGCAGGGGCGTAAGGGCCCCCCATTGCCCCCACCCCCGAGGCCCACGCCCAGCAAGGAGATGACGCAGGAGGCCATTGTGAACCTTTTCGATGACAACTTCATGGCCTCTGCTGCCCCCACTAATGCAACGGTAAGCGTGTATCATTCCTATGTATTGGCGAACATGGGTGCTTGTAACTTGAGCTGGGCGGTGGTGGCTATGCACGTGGCCTGTAATCCAGCACTGCGGAGGCGAGGGTCGGTGGATTATGCACAACTCCCCTTAGGTGCCTTACCATGGCTCACCAGGAGAAGGAGGTACAGCAAAGTGCGGACTAGAGTAGAGTTAATTATATTAATGTGTGGAAATAGAAACAGAAAAGGGAGGAGAGAAGATTAAGAATTGGAAATATGTGGAAAAGGAATGGAACAAGGGATCAAACGGGCAGGAAAGATGAGGGTCGGGAGGGAGAGGCTACATCAGGACCTTCATGCTGCTGCACGGAGCAGCATCTGTTTTCACAGGGGGCGGTGGGGAGGGGAGGGATCCAGAATGGGGGTAACCACACAAGTCATGTGATTTACGGGAGACATGAGCTGATTTAGACATAGATCTTTTTTAATGTATCAATATAACTGATGTGGTTAGGGTGTGACTCGCAGTCCAAAGGTTGTGAGTTTGAATCCCACTTGGGGATCGATTCAGTCCATCAAACCTGTGGCCTCCATAAAATGAAAACCAATGTGGATAGTCAGCAATGGCCATCCTGTTCAAGATCCAAAGCCCTGCCACAGCATCTTGAAGTTTCACTCATGGCCTAAATATCAGGCTCTAAAGTGAGGATCCCTGGTGTGGTCTCCTTCTCAAGGACACCCAGAAAATATATCCATTGTGGAGTGTGCTTGTTCCCCCTTTTGTAAATTACCATTTCAATGCCCTCTTATTTCTAGCTGGGAGTTCCGTTAACCAAGAGTGAAGATACCGGAAGCTTGCTGGATCTCGACTTTGATCATTTTACAGCCACAGATTCAACCACTGTAGCCATGGCTCCTTCCATGAATCAGGTTTGTTTCACTGCACTCATTTTAAGTCGGTCTCCCTGCCCAAACAAGCATGAAGGTATTGCATGGAGGTCTGTTGCCTGCCTTGAAGTAATGGTGGAAAATTCCACATCCATGTCAGGGGCTAGTTTCTACATTTGATGGCCACTGTTGACTTACCACAAAGTGGTATTAAGGATATTTATATTCTTGGTTCTTTCGGTAAAGTCACGTAGAAGGGAAACAATAAAAAAATATATAAAACAATAAAATTCTCACGACGTTTCGACTGCAACACAAGCAATCATCATCAGGTGTGAAAACCACAAATTTTCTTGTTATGGTTTTTCACACCACAAATTTTCTTGTTGTGGTTTTCACACCTGATTATGATTGCTTGTGTTGCCGTCGAAACGTCGTGAGAATTTTATTGTTTTATATTTTTTATTATTTTATTGTTTCCCTTCTACGTGACTTTACCGAAAGAACCAAGAATATGAATCCCTGCAGTCACGAAAGCTTTAAATCAAAATTTGGTATTAAGGATGTAATTTTTTTTTTTATCAGCATTTCCAGCTTCACGCTAATGATAATAAACCCAATTTATAACGTCCACATATTTTACAAATTGGACGCTATATTCCATCGAGAACTCGGAGGCGCAGAACCAGAGCTCAATAGTCCCTTGTATGCTAGCCGGAAGGTGTGAGAGCCTTGACAGGTGAGAGTCTGGATGGGTGAAAGCCTGAACAAGTGAGAGCATGAATGGGTGAGAGCCTTGAGCTACTGCTTGAATGTGGATGGTGCTTGGATGCTGAGTGTGTAGATGGCGGGTGTCTTGAAATGTTTTGAATGTTCCCGATTGTCGTTCTAGGTGGCGGGTGTTTGAAATGTTTATAATGTTACCAATTGTCCACTTGTCAGCCAGCAATTCTCATTTGCCAACAATCATCCCAATTCTGTGCCAAATGTTATTTATTCTCAATCTATCGACACATGTGTTATCTGGTTTTGTTAATCTATTTTGTTTCTACATTTAGAATTGGATATACATGTGATACTGAATTAAATTATTTATATAAGTTTAATACTCACTATAACGTTGTCCACATTCACTTTTTTTTAGATATTTTGCTGACCTGTCATCTCTCCCAATGCTGTCAGACATTGTTGGATTTGAGTTGGGAGGTAAGTTGGCAGCTTCAGATGAAAATATTATGGAAACGGAGTAAGACTGCCCGATGATAATAATGACAACATGAAAAAATACAGCCCTTCGTCAATTTACTCTCAAAAAGAGAACAATTAAGAGGAGCGAGGAACCACAGACAAGTGGGAAGGCAGCCATGCTTTGAGCCGGTGCCAACAATTGCCCAAGCTGTGTAATCTATATTAAGGCACGATCGGCCAATTATTCATTTACATGTGAGAGGAATCTGGAGCACTCAGAGAAAACCCATGCATGCATGCAGGAAATACCATCTCATACAAACGGAACCGGTGAAGTCTACTTTTTGCTGTACTACTTACTCTTGGCAAACCAGGGTATATAAGCACCTCGATGCCCACGGGACCCTTGCCTCCGCAGTTCTGGACTAAGGGCGTTGCACCACCACCGCCCAGCAAAGGGGGGTTCTTTGACCATAATTCACCCTGCTGGTTAAGGTGGTTGGAGTGCCAGGACTGGTTTAGGCGTCACTCACCACTGATGTTAGCTGAATCAAATGCAGTTAGCTGGATTCATTGAGTAGTGGTCTTACCACTCCTTTCCACTGCACCAACACTTCCACATCCACTCTTTGATAATTTGCCGAAACTACACTCAACCCCATTGTAAAAAAACAGTAATTCTTATATAATGGTCAGATAACTCTACAATTTATACACCATGTGCAATCGACACAAAATTATTCCTGGATGCCACAATCGTATATCCATTAAAGGAAGATGCAACCAGAAAGCAAATGTATCCGGAACTGGTTCACCACTCGTAGCGTTACCTCGCTGCTGTGCCAGGTTTTTACACTGCTACCAATGCAGGCCTCTTAAGCATGACCGTTAACCATGACCTTGCCTTCTACGTATGCAGCAGCCTGTGGAGAAGAGTGCCACTGAGGTCCATGCCCCCGAGGTCCCTGCACAGAGCCCTCCAGCCGCGAGCCTCACAGGTGCCGTCCAGAGCAGCGACGTGCCCCCAGGCATTCTGTACAAGGTGAGGGCTTCGTCGGCCGTGTTGGAGCGTGAAAGTTACAAACGGCAGCTTGGAAGTACAAGGGCCTCCCTTTACGCAGTAGATGCTGTCCAAAAAGAGGGGGGGGCGCACAGCGAAACCACGCGAGGAGACAGCTGCCTGCCGAGCACCGCATGCAGTTCTGTACGCGCACAATGTTGTCCCACATCCGACCACACAGCTGGCATACGAGTGAATTCAAACCGCATATCGCGAATTTTGGGTAGAAATAGGTTAGCCGCATATTGTACAATCCCAACCCAGATAGAGCAAGGGACACCTTTATATAGATAGGTGATCGTCAATCATTAGTCGTAAAGTGCCCATTGAGATTAGACATCTCTTTGTTCATAGATAGTCAATATGGGCTTAATAAGTAAATGCAAAACAGCAAACACATTCAAATGTTCGCACCAAATATGCAGAAAACACCGTTTTAACATTTACAATGGAATTAGTGTAAAATATTTAAAATTAATCGCAGCCCTTTTGTCAAATAACATATTGATGAAGGTCTCCTTGCGCTGGAGTTAGGGTTAGTAGGAGCAGAGTGGGGGAGGCTATAGGACCATATCACTCGGCGCTGATGTTAGCCATGGCTGGGATAAGACTCGGTACAATGCATGAACTAATGTGCCGCTTCTCACCTACTATAGATAGTGAATGTTTTACTCCTCATGGTTATACTGTAGATAGGGAGTAAGCCCACTACGCTACAAACCCAGTGATCCGAGTTTGAATCCTACCTCACGGCCACCACCAGTGGCGATTATCTGAAAGGGTCTAGGTTGACTCAGCCTCAGATGAATTGCATGGTGTGTGAACATCGCAACTCGGGATACAAAGGCGGTCGGGCGTGGTAGTGGCCATCCACGCCCTCGTGTGGTGTGCCAGCCTTCATAGGTCCTACTTGCTAACAGCATATCTCCCAAGAGTCTGTTAATGTTATACGGGGGGCGGGGGGGACGACCTTTGTCTTGGATAGATGGCGAGCTGATCCAGAACCACTGACTTGATACCCTGGATTTGAATCTAGGCAACCCACCCGTGATTAATCTGGGTTCTTAACTTAACAAATTTATGGTCTCAGCCTAACAACACTCAATATTCAAACAAAAGGTTTACTTGCGCACAGATTATTCCAGATACTTGAGAGATCACATTTTCGTTATGATGGACACTTGATGAACACTCTGGAGCTGTTCTCTGATGCAAGGTTGTGCACTGTTTACTGTGAGCGTTACACGTGAAAATCTCTCGTCCAATGAAAATGATGCCGATCACACAATTGAACTATAATTTGGAAGAAATTAAGTGATTTAAGGAATCCTCCTGATGTCACGGTTTATGCAGGGTATGTATGTATAACGAGCAGGAACCCGTGGAACTTCTGCCACAAAGGGATAGCGAATATGGTCGTTTTACCTTTTTTGTATGTTTAAGACATTTTAATATTTCAGCATCTCAATTCATTTTGAAGTTATTATTTAACATTCAATTAAAATGTTCTCGTATTTTTTTTGCAATTAGTGTTTTCCACTCTTGCATCTCTTGACGTCATAACCCTCCCCCCCCCTCTCCTCACCACTCCTGCATCTCTGGATGTGATCACACCCTGTCCTGCACCTCACCCGTGCAACATGACCTCATCAACCCATCTCCCCACCACCCCCGTGTTTTGTGACATCACTCCCTCTCCTCACCAACTCGCCACAATCTCTAGTGATGTCACCACCCCTCTCCTCACCACCTTCTAACATTGTGACGCCATCACATATCTGTCAAACCCTTATCAGTGCCTACCTTATTACAGACCAATTCAGACCTTATTGGTCACCCCGTGCCCTTGTAAATTTCAATTTCATCCCATCACAAAGGAGAAACACAAATACAAAATTTTGTTGCCCATATTGAAACGGCTGTACGCCGTGTGAACCTGAACTCAAATTCCCTGTACAAGAATACGGGTAAACCATATGGGTTGACAGGTACGTCATCACCCCCCCCTCTTCCCGACCTCACTCCAAAATGGAATGACGTCTGTACTCCTCTCCCCAACACCGCAGTGTCTCTGAGGTTATCAGCCCCTCCACTCCAGCCCAATCAACCCCTCCTCTTCACCTCACCAGGGTGGCATGATGTCAAACCAACCCCCACCCACCTTGCCACCCAGCCAAACTTATGTTCTTTTTTCCATGTATGTCCCGGAGCATTACAGACAGACAAACACGCATATTAATATATCGAGATCATAAACACATTCCTGCGGAGGGAGCTGGTAGGAACGTTGGGTTGCTCGGTCAATGGCCAGGGTCAACGGCGGCACCACCACGTGGTGTATTCCGCAAATATGCCCGACTGTGAGGGCGGGCACAAGCCGGCGTGAGTAGGTTAAACGTTGAGTTTTATAAGGGCACCACGGGGTGACCAGCCCCTCCCCGCCCAGCCCCACCCCTCCCACCCCCCACCCAGCCCCACCCTCCCCACCCACCTTCCCCACCCAACCGCTCCCCACCCTCCCCTCTCCACCCAGCCCCACCCCTCCAATTTTTGGATGCAGGACGGAAGGACACAATAATCCCTTATGGGGTGGTATAACCAGGAGGTTCCTACCAGTATTAAGTTCTACTTATCATACACGCACAGTAATTATTCACTCTTGAACAGAGAACAATTTAGAGGTTCAAGGAACCACAGATAGGAAGGCAGCCACACAGTGATAGCCCAAGCTCTGCAGTTTCTTTATATTAAGGTATTAGCCACTTAATGAGTGTTTCCATGTGGCAGGAAACCGGAGCACTGGAGTAACCCACATGTGCAAGGGGGCAACACTCGATCCCATACAGACAAAATAGGTGGAGTCCAGGTTTTTGGTCTACAGCATTCTCGTGGCAAGCCAAGGTGTATGGCTCTTCGATGCACACGGGAAGGGAATTTGACAACATCTGTGTGATCCACAAACCCACGCTGCCTCAGAAGTGGTGAAGTACAGGAAGGGATTGACATGCTTGTGTGGCATCCCGTTCTCTCCGTGTTCCTAGGTGCAGGCCCAGCACAACTACACGGCTCTGGATTCGGACGAATTGGGCCTCCAGCATGGAGACGTGGTGTTCGTACTGCCCCCCGACAGTGCTGACGAGCAGGTAGCAAACCTGTCCTCCAGACAGTCTCGTCCCTTCACCTGATGAAGGCCGCTTGTGTTGTGGCCGAAACGTCGTGATTTTTTGTTATTTTATTTTCACCTACGTGACTTTACCCAATAGAACCAAAGAGTATGAAACCTATATCTGTATGGATACTGGCGTTAAACAGCTTAAAGAACGATCACTACGTCGCGCGCTTTCAGATGCGATTATGTGGCCGTCTGGAACACTCTTCCGATATTAAGAAGCCACTAGAGCTATGCACTTTTAAATCTATATTGAAAACGAATTTCTTTATAATAGCTTTTTTATTTAGTTTGTTGTCCTTCCCCCGCACCTCCGATTAGGACCGTTGGCTACGTACGGTGCAAAGAAAGTTCAACATACATACATAAAGTGGTTTTATCCGCACAAGTTTAAGGAAGGTTCAGCCTAGAGATATCACATATCTCAAAGTACCGATCATATAGATCTAATATTGTGGATACATACCTTGGCTTTTTGCTTCCTGGGGTGTCCAACATGAGTTTGAAGTTTCATAAATGAGCGGTCATAAAAAGTGAACTGCATGTAACGTACAGCCCTTTTATGCATCCACTGCTGGACGAGGGCCTCCCCACACTGCTTGTCACGGAGGGTTATCAGACCATATTTCACCATGCTGGTCAGTGTAGGTTGGTGAAGGTGGGGAACATATAAGCTGGAGTATAATACAGTACAACAATTGGTTTATCTGCACCGCCCTCCACGGTCAAACACAAAGTGGTACCCCAGACGAATGAAGGGATGTGGTTTGAACCCAAACGGATATTTAGAGACGTAATTTTCAGATGGTGAGTGAAGCTCACGGTCACCATGTACATAGTTAAATGAGGCATCTATTAAAATGCTTGTTAGTGTTCTGTGCTTTGGAAGTCTGATGTGACATAGCTGTTCTTTTGTCACAGGGTCAAAAGCCCTCCCATATGTTTGTGTTTTGGTACTGTCCCAGTTGGTGTTAAAATGCCTATGACATAAAGGGGAATGAGGCAAGTGAGCCATAGCTGATATTTGATTATGATTTAGGGACCACGGTAAATCCCTGTACTCTGTATCTTCATAAAGTGGATATCTTAGTGCTTGACGTTCATCCCCGTATAGATGGTATAAACTTAGTATATGATATTTTGGTGAGTTGTGAGCAGTACAATCAATACATAAGCAAGGGTTTATATCAGCGACAAAGAAAAATAAAATAACATCTAGGTCCATCAGCCAAAAAACCTTTTTGGGCCAGTGTTTTATAACAGCATGTTGTGTCAGAAAAATAACCTTGGACCAGTTTCAAATGCGAGTCTCATCAGCTGGGTATGGCGTGTATCACGAATGCTGCTGTCTTGACCCAATGTTACAGGCACGTGACCTCAATGAATACCATGGGGCCCATTCATTTCAAAACAGCAACATTAGTGAACCCAGAAGACAACCCCTTTGCTGCTGGAGTGTTATTTTATGAACCCTTGAAATTGGCTGACAACTCATTTGGTTGAGAGTCCACTGCAATGTTTTACAGAATCTTCAGTCATCACACCTTCATCTTAATATCCCACAGGTGAAAACTGTCGCTCTTCTGAGACAAGCAATATATCCGCTGTCCTGTGTGCACTTTTAGATGTTGCGTGTATACGTAAGCCATCCTTTGGTCCACAACCCCGCCTGCCTGTGTGCTTGCACTCGCAGGATTCCGGCTGGCTTCTGGGCATCAAGGAAGCTGACTGGATCACTCACAGAGATCTGGATGAACACAAGGGTGTGTTTCCAGAAAACTTCACCGTGCGCATAGACTAAGCGCCACCCCGAGAGACTCCGCCCACTTAGTAATAATGTGCTGCCTCGGCAAATTGCGAGTATTAAAGATGCGAAAGTAAACTAGGCAGTCATCTGTTTAAACCCTTAAATGCAAGGGCGTTTAACTGGTTGAACAGTTTTCCTTCCGTATCAATGAGTTGCCAGCGGTGTTTCAGACTGATTTGAAATGTACTCGCTGGAAACAAGTCTGTGGTTTGCTTTGATTGAACAAAATGCGACGAGATACATTGATTTGGGTGGTCTGTTGATCGATCATTTGAATGTTATTTCATTTTGACAACTAACCAGTTGTCTTTGCCTGTTGATGTATTAATTAAACAATTATCTTATTGAAAGAAAATAGTCTCATGGCAGCTTACCACAGTTGGTTAAATCCTTTTTACCGACTAATTAGCATGCAGTGTTTAAAAACACATGTCACTCGCTTGTGACATCTGTCAAACCAGAGGCGTGTACCAACTTACCACCCGGCGATTCGATATTTTGTTCCGATTTGGGAGTCGCAATTCGATTGAAGAATGTACTTCCTTGTTTGTACCTTCTCGTTCGTTATCCTGTGTATGTTCGATCTTGTTCGTTCAATGAGCCTAAAGTTCATTCGCATACAATTTAAGCATCTTATGGGGCCATCCATTTAGTACGTGTGCAATGAGGGGGGAGGGGGCGTTAACCCAAATGTGTACGCTTGCGTATGGGGTGGTCTACTGACAGTGTACGTCGTACGCTTAGGAAACGGGAGGGGAGGGGGGTGAAGCCTCGATAATTTGTCTACATTGGTCTTCAAATGAGGAAGAGGGGTCAAGTTTTCACAAATTTTTGCGTATGTACTAAATGGATGGCCCCTATTTTAGTAGATTAACCGTTGTCTGCTTAATATAAAAGGCCACTTGGCTTTGTTTTGTCCCTTCGTTGTTTAACTCGCACCACTTAGAGCAGTATGAGTTACTGTTTGATTGACATTTCTATTAGCATTGTGTGACTCGTTAATTTATCTGAATCACACAGACGATCAGTAATAAACATCCATTTGATTTGTGATAAAACCTACTGTCATTTGAGGAGAGTTGTGATCGAGCAACTTGGTAGATTAAAAACAACACTATATAACCACCGTTAACACCATTCATGAAATCTCAAGAATAAGAATTAGAAGTCTGCCTTCTCAGACGAGCAATGTGGCAGTGCTCGCCTCCACTGCCAGTCCTAAGCCAGTTGTGGAAATTCCGTATACCTTTGGTGGAGGCCATTATCTCAATAAAACAAGCATTGTTGACCTGGCAGCTGTCCTCATTTTCGCGACCCTGAAAGAATGCTTGGCCCGAATTTAATTTGCAATCTTCAAATTCTGAGCGAGGCGTTCCAACCACAGCGCCACCTTGCCAGATAGCAATGAGAATAGGGCTGGTGCATCCCCTCCATTTAGCTGTTGAACTAACACTAGCGAGGCACCGATTATAGGCTCCCAGCCTTTGGGGTGGCCTTGCATCATTGTGACTTCTGTAACTTTGTAGCTCTCAGATGCGCTTACCGGTTGTACCGCTAGTTGTTCGGAACTAATGTCCGACGTTTCATTCCACATGCTGAGAACTTCTCCGGGAACTGAATTGAGCTGGTAGAAGGACCCTCCCAGCATGTGGAGTGAAACGTCGGACGCCAAACCAAAATGTCACGCTGCCGGAAAATGCGCGTCACAATCCGAAAACAGGTCGGAGAGCCACGCAGCACAACCGTGAACACCTTCGCTCGTGAGCATAATTGGCCATTTGAAAATGTTTGTACTTGAAAATAGCTACTGTGTGGTAAACCAAAAAACCCAGCACATTCGTTAATAACAGTGGCCTTAAAAGAAAAATATGTAATACGTGATGTTTCAGACAATGGCCCTTCTTCAAAACACGTCGCCTATTATGTTTTTTTTCTTTTAAGGCCACTGTGTGATTGATGAACGAGTTGAGTTTTTTTTGTTAATTGTCCTTGTGCACCACTGCCAAAGACTGCATCACCACATAATTTGTGTATCTGTTTAATAAGATCAACTCGCATTGTTTGGTAATGATTGATTCCAGGACGACAGCAGGCCACCCCATGCTTTACCTTGTAACTGTGAACGTGGAAATATGGCTAATACTAACTAACGTCCCATGTGCAAATTGTTTTAGAAGCTTCGCTTTTAAATTGACAAATACAAGATGCAATCGTGTTCTTACCTAATGCGTGTGGCTTAGACTTGTGTTCTTATCTGGACGTGAAACAACAATGTAACTTAATTTGTAACTGCGCTTATCTCGACACTGCTAATGTTATCGCAATGGCTTCTGATTTTGACACCACAGTTCCGTAACTTCATGTGGGAAATGTCAGCATACCTTGAATGTAACCTGTTAATGTGTTGTCATTGATGAATCCACTTGATGTTGGTGGAAATGGGCTAAAAAGCAGACACCAGCCTCATGGTCCTACGTTTACTCAAACTAGATACATTTTCCTTGGGTTCACCGCTCTAATGAGTAACCAATGCTGCTCCATTGGGGTTGTCAACACTGGATTAACTAGTAATACATTAGCTCCTCCAGTTGTTTTTGTCGATTTAAAGCAGAGGTTGCACATTGTGGTTTCAATTGCAAATTGTGCATGCCAATGATGAGGATTGTCGAAGGCAAATTATTTGGATGGGGTGTTGTTGTCAGTGAGAAAGTGAAGGCTTGCTGAAGGGATTATGTTGGGGAGTAAATGCTAAGCGGTAGAGAAATGTATAAATGTAAAGCGCCGCTTGACGAATTGAAGATGGGGGTCCGTTATGCCAAAACCTGCCGCCGTACGTAGCCAACCGTGCTAATTGGAGGTGCGGGGGAAGGACAACAAACTTCAACACAAAACAGTGACGAGGACATCGCAAGATCGGAGAAGACCGAGGAGGAAACGTGAAGCAAGAATCTGCCCTCAGGCAAATGACTCGACAACAGAGAGGCGTAACAACGCGCGTCACAATGTCGTCTCTCGCGGCCCGACGTGGGTACGAGTTTGCCATGCAAACACCAACCATCGTGTGCGTGGAGCGAAACAGTGGCTTCGTTTGCAATACGGGATAGAAAAAAAACATAGGTGATACAAAAGATATATTCTTAGTTTTTTCGGTAAAGTCACGTTGAAGAGAAACAACAAAATAATAAAATATATATAAAACAATAAAAAATTCTCACGACGTTTCGACCATAACTCAAACGGTCGTCTTCAGGTGTGTTGGTTCGCATAAATTTATTTTTAAACGGCGCATTTATTTAATTGATTGTTCACGCTTACAGTGGCTTTCAGACAGCATACATTATAAAAAATTTCGTCTCCCCCCTCCTCTTTTCAGAATATAGATGGACTAGTCCTGGGTAAACTGTCAAATCGTTGCGCGTGGCGCTAACGTTTTTTATAAATAAATAAATGCGCCGTTTAAAAATTAAAAATAAATTTATGCGAACCAACACACCTGAAGACGACCGTTTGAGTTATGGTCGAAACGTCGTGAGAATTTTTATTGTTTTATATATATTTTATTATTTTGTTGTTTCTCTTCAACGTGACTTTACCGAAAAAACTAAGAATATGAATTACTGCAGTCACGAAAGCTTTAAATCAAAAGATACAAAAGATGTTGAGCGTGGCGAAGGCGAGTTGAGAAAAGTTGATGTGGAATATCGCACGTGCATTGTTGACCCGCGAAAGCAATAAGCAAACCCCTGTTAAGCATGTGTATTGTACCGGGAAATGCTACACGCCCAAACATCTGCTGATAGTACAATATACTGAAGGCCGCGTTGACTTTGTGCCGAATGTAGCGTTGTTTCTCGTTCCTGTTATTAAATGTGTGCATGTACCAGTGACCCGATGACGTTATCTTTCTACCTACGTTAGAAGTAAAAATGCCAACACTCAGAAACACTGACACACGTTCGTCTATACTACTGCGTGTGGCCTTAAAATAACAATATATAATAGGAGGCGTTGTGGGCAACGGCTCTTAATGGCACATTTAAAATAATTAAGAATGTGTGCTGTAAAGGGCCATTGCCCGCATCGTCACCGTTTTTGTATATTTTTATTTTAAGGCCATTGTGTTATTTAGGAATATGTTGAGTTTTGTCAATTTGTTAACGTTTATTTAACTACAAACAGCAAATGAAACTAAGTATTTGATCCCCTGCTGATTTTGTACGTTTGCCCACTGACAAAGAAATGATCAGTCTATCATTTTAATGGTGGGTTTATTTGAACAGTGAGACAGAATAACAAAAATCCTGAAAAACGCATGTCAAAAATGTTATAAATTGATTTGCATTTTAATGAGGGAAATAAGTATTTGACCCCCTCTCAATAAGAAAGATTGCTGGCTCCCAGGTGTCTTTTATACAGGAAACGAGCTGAGATTAGGAGCACACGCTTAAATGGAATGCTCCTAATCTCAGCTTGTTACCTGTATAAAAGACACCTGTCCACAGAAGCAATCAATCAGATTCCAAACTCTCCACCATGGCCAAGACCAAAGAGCTCTCCAAGGATGTCAGGAACAAGATTGTAGACCTACACAAGGCTGGAATGGGCTACAAGACCATTGCCAGCAGCTTGGTGAGAAGGTGACAACAGTTGGTGCGATTATTCGCAAATGGAAGAAACACAAAAGAACTGTCAATCTCCCTCGGCCTGGGCTCCATGCAAGATCTCACCTCGTGGAGTTGCAATGATCATGAGAACGGTGAGGAATCATCCCAGAACTACACGGGAGGATCTTTTGAATGATCTCAAGGCAGCTGGGACCATAGTCACCAAGAAAGCAATTGGTAACACACTACGCCGTGAAGGACTGAAATCCTTTAGTGGCCGCAAGGTCCCCCTGCTCAAGAAAGCACATATACATGCCCGTCTGAAGTTTACCAATGAACATCTGAATGATTCAGAGGACAACTGGGTGAAAGTGTTGTGGTCAGATGGGATCAAAATGGACCTCTTTGGCATCAACTCAACTCGCCGTGTTTGGAGGAGGAATGCTGCCTATGACCCCAAGAACACCATCCCCACCGTCAAACATGGAGGTGGAAACTTGCTTTGGGGGTGTTTTTCTGCTAAGGGGACAGGAGAACTTCACCGCATCAAAGGGACGATGGATGGGGCCATGTACCGTCAAATCTTAGGTGAGAACCTCCTCTCAGCCCGGGCATTGAAAATGGGTCGTGGATGGGTATTCCAGCATGACAATGACCCAAAATACACGGCCAAGGCAACAAAGGAGTGGCTCAAGAAGATGCACATTAAGGTCCTGGAGTGGCCTAGCCAGTCTCCAGACCTTAATCCCATAGAAAATCTGTGGAGGGAGCTGAAGGTTCGAGTTGCCAAACGTCAGCCTCGAAACCTTAATGACTTGGAGAAGATCTGCAAAGAGGAGTGGGACAAAATCCCTCCTGAGATGTGTGCAAACCTGGTGGCCAACTACAAGAAACGTCTGACCTCTATGATTGCCAACAAGGGTTTTGCCACCAATTACAAAGTCATGTTTTGCAGACGGATCAAATACTAATTTCCCTCATTAAAATGCAAATCAATTTATAACATTTTTGACATGCGTTTTTCTGGATTTTGTTGTTGTTATTCTGTCTCTCACTGTTCAAACAAACCTACCATTAAAATTATAGATTGATCATTTCTTTGTCAGTGGGAAAACGTACAAAATCAGCAGGGGATCAAATACTTTTTTCCCTCACTGTATATAGATTTTTTCAGAAGCGACCTGGCCACAAATGATAACTCAATCATGTGGAAGTTTATAGCAGCCAATTACGGTACTCTAAATGCATACTTCTAAATGTGAAGGGGAAAACCCGAAGGAACGAGAGAAAATTCCACGCGACCACGGGGAGAACGTGAAAACTCCAAACATACAACAGGCGTCAAGGTCGGGATCAAACCGACGTCCTTTATAGGGGCCGTCCATAAATGACGTCACGCACCTCGGGGGGGTGTGGGGGGTTCAGACATTTGTGACGAGGGGGGGGCGGTGTTTGAGAAATGTGACGTCACGTAAAAATGCGCAACTTTAAATAAATATAGACAACACGTTCTACTTAATTAAATATACTTTTTAATAAATGTTTTCTCCTACAACATCAGAGTGCAGCGCCACATTGAATACGCACTACAATGACAATAGTTTAAAGCGATTTGAAGCATGTTTTATTTTCAAAATGGAAATCTTTTTTTGGGGGGGGGGGGCATGTTGTATATATAGGCTTTTTTCCAAAATTGATATTAAGAATAATTCTGCCAATACTTTTTTTTAATAATCAATCGCGGTGTCGCTTGGGGCAAAAGGGGGTGATGCGAACACCCCCCTCCCCTCACAGCAGCTGCCCTTCCCACTCGGAAACAGGCAGCCGGAGATAAACCATAAAAGATAATAAAAACCCAAAACAAAGAGAAGGGGGGGGGGGGGGTGCGAACAGGCGTCACCAGATTCCCGGGTGGCGAAAACCAAACAGACAAATTTTTGGGTTATTTTAATTAACAGAAAAGTTCAGAACTTAGCGACAAGAATAAAAAAAACCAGGCTACAATCTACATTAGTGGGTTATTCTCATATATATTATTTTAATACTAATGTTATTCACCTTAATTTCTATTATATTGCTGTCTCCGTGACTTTACCAAGAAACCAAGGAATTATGAATTCCAGCAGTCAAGAAGTTTGACTGAGACTTAGTTATACCTCCAACCTCGGGATAGCATAATAATAATAACTCGAGAATAAACAGCACAAATCCCTGGATACAGACGAGGGAACGAAGGTTAATAAAACCCTAGGAATATACGTGGTGATAATGCTAAATCACGAATCTTGGGAAACATAAACCAAATAATTATGAAGTATTAAACCGAGGGTTATCCAGGAAGAGATGAGGCAAAATAGGTCAATCACACATAACCAAGATAAAATGTATCCCATAGAGAAAGAGAGTCTCCCAACCGCTTTTGTCTCCCAGTAGCACGTGATATAAATTTGCATACGCATGCAAAGGGCATCCCCCCTTAAAAATAACAATCAAACACCACGATGGAAGCACTGTAAACACTGCTACAAACATACCTTGAGTCACTTACAGAAAGACAACTACAAACTGGTTCGTTATCAAGCTATAAGAGGTAAAATAAAAATGTTACTTCCAAACCATACAACAGAATACAAGTTCTTTGGTTCTTTCGGTAAAGTCACCACGTAGAATGAGAATAAAATAATAAAATAAAACAATAAAATTCTCACGACGTTTCGGCCACAACACAAGTGGCCTTCTTCAGGTGAAAGGAACAAACCTGTCGGGACGACAGAGCTACAATGAACGCTGCTAAGATTCGCAGCGTCTTTTAAGCTGGTTTAGAGAAGTGAGGCATCTTGACAAAGGGGTTTACATATAAAACAGGAGAATTTAGCATACTTTATTCTCATTCTACGTGACTTTACCGAAAGAACCAAAGAAGATGAATCCTTGCAGTCACGAAAGCTTCAAATCGAAACAGAATACAACTTCAAAAGCCGCAACACACCCCTTTGTGAGAGGCAAAAATAACGTCACACCGGGAGGGAAGAGGGGAGGGGGAAAACCCCGCCAGAGTTTTACTACAATGATACACCGGGGTGTAGCAATTTGGGGCACCTGTTGTCCCACGGATGAAAAGATGGCTTGAAGAGGGGGACAGAAATCTAGCCAGGGTGAGACTTAACGGATGGCTTAATAAATCAGAACACACACACGGACACACGTACAACTCCCCCCCCCCCACAGCACAGAGCGAAATCAAAAGGAAGTTTCGGTCCTTTGTGAGAAGGCGATCCGAAGGGGAGAGAATTTCACGTAAAAACAGAGACACGACCCAT